GCTTGAGTGGTCTAGTTCGTTTGCTTTATCTTCCAGTCTTGACATTCTTTTTTCCATTTCATTCATCCTTTTGGTGAGGCTTTCTCCTGTCGTTTCTACTTGGCTTATTGGGTGTTTCACTTCCTTCTTCATTTCAGCCTGAGAAGTCTTCAATATTTCTAGCTCTTTTCTGAATTCATTCAGAAGTTTATCCCTATCTTCCTTCAGTTTTTTTATTTCTTTGTGTGTTCTTTAAATTCACTGGATTCTTTTATCAGGTTTATAATTGTTCTTTTGAGTTCCATGTCCTGCAGTATCTCTAGGGGGTTTTCATTGTACTCCTCTAGAGGACGATTGGTATTTGATGGCAATGTGGTATTTTGATTTTTCATGTTACTATTTTTTCTCTGTGAATTTCTTTTGTAGCTTCTGATTCTTGTGTGAGACTCAGGCCTTCAAGTTTAGGTCTGTTTCTTTTTGTGAACTTTATGTGTCTTTGTGGTTTACTTTTTGGTCATGAAAAGCTGGTTCGTATAAGCTTCCAGTTCTCTCTTTTGATTTTATAGTGGAGTGGCCGGATTGCTTTTGTCTTCAGGAGTTCCCACAGAGGCCCAATTCAGGGTCAGATGTTTTCAGGCTTTCTCCTAAGGTCTGGATCCCTCCAGGACCGATTTTGGCCTCAGGAATTTGTGGGTTGGACTGGCCTGGGAGCCTGGCCCAGGAAAGATGCTGGTCTAGGGCCACTGGTGGCTGTGCCACCCAGAGATGCTAAGGCAGATGGGGCAGGAAGAGGCTGCAAGGACTCCTGGGGACTGCACTGAGGAGCTGGGTTGGTCTGGATGCAAAGGATCAGAAAGACGAAAGGTTAGCGTTCAGTCCCAGCATCCCAGAAAGAGGCTGGCAATTGGTGCAGGCCCAGGGAAGCAGCGGGAGGTGAGGTTAGGGCCAGGCCCAGAAGCAGTGCCCTTAGGGCCCAGAGAAGGCACTAAATTGGTCTGGATGAAAAGGATCAGGAAGCAGTATTGGTTCCCCTGGTGTCTGGGGCCCCAAGCCAAGGAATGGGGCAGGGCCCACACTTGGAGGAGAGAATGGTGTGGGAGATGGAAGGGTGAATGAGGCTGGGGGAGTCAAGGCATGGAGGGCATGATGGACTTACCCTGGAGAGAGGCCTGCACATGCCCAGCTTTTGAAAATGGGTGCTGGGGATCAGTCTGACGTCCCCCTGCAGATATGGCAACAACTTTACCAACTGAACAAACTCCCAAGCACTTGCTTTTATCATTATAATGGGGGGGGGCTCCATTTATTTTATTTAAACTCATTTCATGAATGTAAAATAGAGACAAAATGAATTTGACTAATGTCATAACTTAAGTTGAGTTAACAATGTTACTTTTTGATGATATTCAGTAGTAACATCTGAGAGATGACTTTCTCTCACATTCAAGTGATTTATTTGCTTGTCTTAAATAAATACTTGTTTTTGACAACAACAGTGTCTTGGATAGTGTTTTGAATTTTTCTTGTTTATTTTCTTTCAGGACCCTGCAGGGATCTTTGAATTAGTGGAACTTGTTGGAAATGGAACATACGGGCAAGTTTATAAGGTAAGACTATCAAACTTGAGCACACCTTGTGTATAGTTTGGGTTCATGAATGCTGAATAGCAGTGCTATCAGTACTCGCTCATAAACGCCTTACAACAGATCTTAAATGAAATCACATACCTCTAGCTGACTCTTCACTCTTGGATGTATCTATAGCCATATTGCTTACAATGGATTTTTTGACTGGAGTGTCGTGCCCCTCCCCACCATGTGTCTATTACAATGTTTGAATCTGAGGCGTGCATCAAGTGCTACATATCTGAAGGTGGCTAAGTGGTTGGATTTTTGTCACTTCACTGCCAGTGGTAGTTTCCAAAGGAGTAAAGATGCTGCTCACTTTAGAAATTTAAGCAATGAGACTACCACAGCTGGAGAATGGATTTGTTGTTCACCTAGAGCACAAGTCAAATGAGTTCACTGAACGATATCATGAGAAACCCAGCTTCCTCACAGAGGTTGATGGCCACAAGGAATTCCACAAGTTAGGAAATATTTACAAGTTCAGCTTGAGTTGGGATTAAGCTTGTTGCTCTTTTACTGATTTTAATTCACCCAAAAATATCTTAAAAGGATATTTTCCTCTCATAAATTGTCTAAATAATTTTAAATGTGGACTTATTCCTCTTTTGACTATGGAAAGGAAATAACGATGAACTGTATTTGGACTAAAACTTTGGGGGTTTTGGTGAATGAGCTGTTCAAAAGCCTTCAAAACAAGCCAGCTGTTTCCTCTTGATTAGTTCTGGGGAAGTAGCTGCCATTTTCCCAAGTGCTGGTGATACAGGGTGGCATTTCCATTACAAATTATGTATCACTCTTTTATTTTAAAAATGCCTTCTTTGTGCTCCAAACTTCTCTTAATTGATTAAAAACAATTAATTTCAATGGTAGGAAACAGTATATTTTTAAATGAAATGGAGATTTTTTTAAAGGTTAAAAACTCATTCAATTTTATGTCTTACAGGGTTTATAATGAGTTCAATATTGTATAACTGTATTAATTCAACACTTAATCCCAGCACTCAGGAGGTAGAGGCAGGCAGATGTTTTTGAGATTGATGCCAGCCTTGTCTATTTGGTGAGTTCCAGACAGGGTGGTGCTTCTTCTAAAAAAAAAAAAATATATATATATAAATAAAAACACCCAATTAATTGATTAAAAGTAGAAGTCCTGCATATTGTGATACTATTAATTCTGTAATGTCAGGTGCACATCTATGCTTAAGGTATTATTAAAATCTGTTTTCAAATAATTTATTTTTATTTTATGTGTCTGAGTGTATTGCCTGCATGTGTAAGTGTACCCGTGTCATGCAATGCCCACAGAGGACAGAAGAAGGTGTTGGATCCCCTGGAATTAAACACAGTTGTTAGCTGCCATGTGGGTGCTCAAAATTGAACCTGGGTCTTCTGCAAGAACAGCCAGTGGTCTTAAGTGCTGAGCCATCTCTCCAGCCCTAAAATATGGTTTTTAAAGCATTATTGTGAATGGGTATGAGGTATCCCTTTATTTACTAGGAAACAGCTTTTGGTGCTCACTCTAGGGGCAAAATTCTCCCTTGCAAGAAATAGCCATTTCTTAAAATGTCAAGTCCTTATGATTAGACAGAATAGAGTCTCTCCCAAGCTGTTTACTTGATGTTGATCCTGTCTGACACAGTCAGAAATGTTTCTCAGAAAATGCTTTTAAATACTTGCAATGAAGATAATTAGGTTGGATGATTGTGTTACTGCATCTTGAAAAATTGGATTGAACTTGAGAAGTAGCGTGGCTAATGAAGTCAGCTCTGATCCAGGCAGAAAATGACTCCTGACTTCCTGTCAATGTGGAGGAGCAACTGTTGCATGCTGTTGGTTTCAGGTACCTTTAAGATGCCTCTCGTTGTAGAGGGGCCATTTGAGAGACATTTCAAACTTTTGTTCACTAACCAAGCAGGTGGAGCTGCACTCTTGCAAGAGGAGATAGAAAGGCCTATGTGGTGGTTAATCCTGTCAACTTGACAGGATCTTGAATCACCTAGGAGACAAGCACCTGGTCATTTATATGTGTCTATGAGGCAGTTTCTAGATTGGGTTAATTAAGGTGGGAAGTCCTACCCTAAATGTGGGTGGCAGTATCCTGTGTGCTAGGGTTCTAGATGGAATAAAAAGGGGAAAATGAGCTGAGCACTGGCATTCGTCTCTCTCTATCCTGACTGTGGATGCAGTGTGACCACCTGCTTCACACTCCTGCTGCCGTGCCTTCCCCACCATGATGGACTGCATCTTCAAACTGCAAGCCAGGATAAGCCCTTCTTTATGTTCTTCTTTTCAGGCATTTGGTCCTAGCAATTAGAAACATGATGAATACAGCATTCAAATGAATCTACAAAATCTAGAATTATCCTTAATTTCATGACACATCATAAGTAAAAGGAAGCAAATGGCAAGAGGTCTCAGACCTTTTGAAGAATGGGAAGATATTTAGCAAGTAGGTTAATATTATGATTCAAAGGGTTCTGTTCTCTTAAAGGATACAGCATTTGGTACTTTCTATTAAAGGGGAAATTGCAGAAAACTCATGGAGAGTGCATGGTACTTGAGGACAGGAGACTTGGTTTCTTTAGTTGTCTACAGATTTTCTGTGCTTGAGTCCAGTGAGAATATAGTTAGAAATGTGGGGACTTGAGCTGAGTTACCTAAAGAATTATAACTCCCCACTTAGTTGAGAATTTGGTATCTAGGAAACCAGATAATGTCAGGTGGTGCAGCTCATGCACATAGACTCTTGTGTTTCCTGAGAACCAATCCAATCCATGGTTCTGAAGGACGAAAGTAGAGTAGAACAGCCAAAAAATGAGACCCTAAAGCAAATTAAATTAGAAAGTGATTTTTCACACTATATCCTTATAATTTCTCTGGAGCAGGTACATTGCTAAAAGACTATAGGCATGCATGCAAATTTTAGCCTTAGGGGGAATCCTTCAACATAAAATCATATGATAAATAGTTTCTTTACATTAAATATTAAAGCTATTGTTTTAATTATTGCAATGAAATCAATTTTGTAAATTTACCTTTTGATAACCCTTGGTTTCACAAAGGAATGTATAAAAAATTGGATGACCTTTATTTTGTGCAATTTTTATCATAACACTTTTTAATAAGCCATCCTATGTGGATCATAATATAATTTTATTTTCAAGTAGTTTTTGAGAAACACAGTTCATATGACAAATTAAAAGTATATACAGTCATTAAAACGGTATTTTCTTGCACTTGCATCAGAGCCCAATACATCTGGATTAGAAATAGAAATACTTTATTCATAAGCCATTAAATAATGTTTAGCTTTTCAAAATGCCTCTAACCTTACTTCCAAATTCAGCCCCTGATTACCTGTTCTTGTAAGATTCATCTTTAGCATTTTGGCTCCACATAATCAAGTAGCAATTTGATATTTCCTTAGTTTTATTTTTTTAACTTTAGTCACTGGATGGACTAGGAAAATAAATGTAAGCTGGGTGTGGTGGTGCACGCCTGTAGTCCCAGCACTCGGGAGGCAGAGGCAGGTGGGTCTCTGTGAGTTCAAGGCCAGCCTGGTCTTCCAGGGAAACCCTGCTTCAAAAAGACCAAAAAAAAAAAAAAAAAGATAGTGATTGTTCCATCAGGATTTTATAAATGAGGAAAGCAACTCTTTGTCCATATCGCCCATTAAGAAGCAAACCAGGGTGACTCAGTGGTTAAGTACTCACTGCTCTTTCAGAGGACTTAAGTTCAGTCCCCAGCATCCACACTGGGTAGCTCATGACCACTTGTAACTCTAGCTCCAGGGGGACATGACACCTCTGGTCTCCATGAGCACCTGCACACACACGTATGCATTCACACAGACACACAGACACAGATACACACACACACACACACACACACACACACAGACTCATACAAAATTAAATAATAAAAATAAATCTTTAAAAAGCAAACCAAAGGGCAGTGTAGTGGGATTCAGAGGAGAAATATACTTAGAGTACAAATATACTTGTATGAAAATGGCCTTATGTGACTCTATACAACAAAATTAAAAAAAAAAATGTAAAACAAACAAAATAATAGCAACAAAATCATGTGTGTATCCTAGATCTTCTTGCTAGGTTATGTGGTGCTGGGGCCCAGGAATCCAACCCTCTTCTTATTTACAAAGCCCATATCATCCAACATGGAATGTTACAGTTGAAAAACACTGCATTGTATTTGATAAATAAAAGACAAAAGAAGCAAATAAAATTTAAAATTCTGCCGGGCGCAGTGGTGCATGCCTTTAATCCCAGCACTCGGGAGGCAGAGGCAGGCGGATCTCTATAAATTCAAGGCTGGCCTGGTCAATATAGTGAGTTCCAGGACAGCTGGGGCTGCAGGGAGACCCTGTCTCAAAAAATACAAAAAAATTAAAATTCTAAAAACAAACAACAACAACAAAAAAGCAAACCAATACAAAGCCACATACAGCTTTGTTAAAAGTCTTAGCTGTTTGTGTATTAGCATATCACTTGTTGGGAACGTAATGGAATCTGGACACATTTTGGTCAAATAGAGTATATTAGTTACTTTTCTGTTGCTAATAATAAAATGCTATGACCAAAAACCACTTTCAGACAAGTTTATCTTGGCTTAGATGTTCATAATGGTGGGGAAGACCCAGCAGCAGGGGTGTGGATCAGAAAGCTGAGCTGTCACATCTCAAACCCACACAGGAAACAGACAACAGTGTGAAGTCGGTCAAGACTATAAACCCTCAAAGCCTGCTCTCAGTGATGTATTCCTCCAGCAAGGCTGCACATCCTGAAGGTTCTGTAGCTTCCCCACACAGTACCACCAGTGGGGGACCAAATGTTCAAATACTTAAGCCTATAGGGGACATTTCTCATTCAAACCCTAGCATAGAGTAATTATTTTAGTAAGTCAAAATAGTAGTTTAATGTGTACTGTGTTTAATGTTCTTCTAATTAGCCACATATTTA